AAAGATAAGAAAATGTAGCTGGTACTATAGCTCAGTGATTCTAGGCTTTTTATTTGCATGTTTGCGAGGGATGTGGCAAGATCTCGCAAGATGAAATTGCCAAACCAGTGCTATTTTTGCTTCTTATTTTGAATTTATTAGTAAGCTTTATATTTTTGCTCTGCGTTATTATACAGGGTAGCCACGGGGTCTTAAAAGTCTTAAAAAGGTCTTAAATTTCATGTTCTTAAATTAAGGCCTTAAACAGTCTTAAATTACGTTGTCCAAGTCTTATTTTTTTCACAAAGGTCTTACATTTCATTAGCTTGTTTTTTATATACTCAACCGGGCTGCAGTGCAATGTTAAACGGAGGGAGGCAAAAAAAAACAACAACGTGAAATCATGTAACGTAAATTTGGAGTATGTGCAAACAATACTTTGGTTTCTGGCACCGGCGGCAATGAGTAAACAATCAGTACAGTGGAGGAAGACATTGGATGGATCATGGGGAAGTGTAGGTTTAATCCACAGTGGCTTTTAAATTCTAGATATAGTAGTTGGTTGGTCATTATTAGAATTGGATCTGGTGTTTTTCGCCCGCATAATGGGTGTATTGTTGATCTTAATTTTCATTTAAAGTGGTCATAAAAATGTCATAAATTTTGGGTAGCCAAAGCTGGGGATACAGTGTTACAGTATATTCTGATTTGTGAGCTACTGTGTCCAAATAATTTCCCTTGTGGAAGTCTAAGAATGTTATTTTGTGAGATTTTCTTCCTTGTTTTTTACATTTGCGTTGAACAAATTAAGCGTTAAGTGCTGTGGAGTTAGATCTCTTGAGAAGCTGTAGATCCAAAACACAGTGTTACAAAAATATGAAATGAAAAGAAAAATGGTGAAGGCCAAAATTGTGAAAAAGAATTGCACCATTTATTGACCGTCAATCATGTCAGACTTTTTTGTTTTTGTCTTGTTCTCATGGACCTAATCTCCCAACGTTCACATTCGGTTCCTGGTTGAGTCCTAGTTTGGGACAAATGTAAGTCCTAATGTAGATTAGGTTTGGTCCTGTTCCAATCCTGGTTTAGTCTTTGTTTAATGTAATCTCAAGTTTGATTTACCGGTCGTGATTGTGCAAGTGTGCATGCACCATATGTCTCATACCACAGCACTAATCTGTGTTGTGTTTTGTTAGTAGGCAAAAGATCATGTGATTATTTTAGTTTCAAAAAATGCTTGTAAAAACACACAAATTACAAGTATGTTTACCACATATTAAATTGTATAAAGTGGAAGAGAAATAATTCGTATAGCTTATGTACTAATCCTTTTTTTGTTTTGTTTTTCAGATTCAGATTTAACGTTATTATGAGGAGGACCAATGACGTTTTCAATTAGGTTATGTAACTTCTAACAGACATAAACCCAAATTGCGTTAGATGCATTGAGACATTCTTTTTTAATTAAATTATGAGTCTGTGAATTGTATCGAAATAGTGATAGCAGAATAGTCCAGATTTTAAAATGTACCTTCTTCGCAGTCACATAGGCTTACATTTGCACTAGGTCTTTAAAATAAGATCGTTAAAGTGGTCTTAAAAAGTGTTTAAGACCACTTTAACTTTAACGCCGCTGCTAATGATTTATGCCGCATGTATGTGTTGTCACTTGTTAACTTGATGGTTTTTACTAGACTTTTGTAATGGACTTTTTATAAGATGTAGTTTTGCTGATATGTCAAGGCACTCATGGGGTTTTTCCACTATAAATAAATCCGGTGATGTCAATAAATACGTCAATGGATTAGCAAGCTAAAACTACAGCCCAGGCATTATAAAACGTATTGGCAAGAGTTTTCATTTAATAATTACCTCTCATGTATGAAATTATATACTTTAAACCATAGGTGCGCCTTTGTTAAAGCTGCACTGCACCACATTTCTTGTGGAAGTGACTCCAGGGAAATATTATTGCTTTGTCTAGAATGTTCCACAGTATAGACTAAACTGCTGCAGCACTACGCTACATTACAAATCAGATCTGTGGAGAGTCTCACATATTCACAGAAAGAATTATTACTAGTATTTTGGAGCAGTAGAAACACCCGTAATGAATAAATGCTAGATGTATGTATAATGTCATATCATGGGACATTCCAGGCAAAGCAATAACATCTCCATGGAGACAAGTAGGTAGCGAACCCTCCACCAGAAAAGTTGCGCAGTGCATCTTTAAACTACAGAGCCCAGTTTGGACAGTGAACAGGTGCCATTTCCGACGTGCTTCTTGGCTCTTTCACAGTAATTGCGTGTTGAGTAAAAACCTTCTCAAGTGTTGGGGTTGGATATGTAAGCTATGTATAGGCTGACGTTTATACAGGCATGTGCCAATAAAAACACACACTTATAAAATGACCAGCAGACACAGAGCAGGGTGGAGGGAAGGGAGGGAGAGAGGGGGGGTATATATGGACATATCTGAAACAAGCTTTTAAGGGAAAGTCTAGGGTCTGGGGTCTCATGTATAAAGTGCATGTGTATGTACAAAAGTGTTACATACATGACTTAACTCTTGATTTAAATACTAATGAATAGACTTTATACTCAATTTGTACTCATCTGTAATACAACAATAATAGAAAATACTATTTAGTATTTAAACAGTAGAATTTATTTTCCAACATTAGATTGTAGTACTTTCTTTTGTATTACCATGTGGCCTTTATGGGGGTGCCAAAATATTGAAATATCGATATATCGTGTCATTTAATTTGATGATACAGGATTGATATTGTGGGCTGCTGTATCGATATATCGCCAAGAGTATTTTTTTGTATATTTTACTAAATTACTTTGTTACAGCGCTACAGTTTTGTTGTTTATTCAGAGGAAGGAAACTCGTTTATGCGGCACATTTGATATTTTCACTGTTTTGATGATTAAAATGGGCGTATTTCATTTTAACTTTGCACAAGAAGTGATTTAACAAAGACTTTTAGCTTCAAAGCCATGATTTTGCCTTTATTTTTTATTGAACCGTATCAAATCGATTTGAAATGTATATTGTATCGAACCGAACGTGCACTGTATTAAGGTATGTATTGTATCGTGGCCTATGTATCAAGGTATGTATCGTATCGGCAACTTCTTAATGATACCCAGCCCTTTTGGCCTTATATTCGTGTAATGTCTCAGTCATTCAGAGGTTGCATAGTGGTCCATGGGCGTATACTAGTCTATGTGGTCTTATGCTATTCAGGAAAGGTTCATTTCTGCTCTATGATTGCGACTCCTTTCATTTAGATGCCTGCTTAAATGAGTATCCAGTTTCGAAAAGACAACTTGATGTGGAAATAAATGATCCGTGTAAAAACTCTGAACTTTGAGCATCAAAGTATTAAAAGTTGAGACAGAAGGATATCGGTGCTCAGAGAGACGAGAAGAGGGAGTTTGTGGAAGTTTGTGGAAGCTTGTGTTCTATTCCTGCTGGGGCTGCAAGATTAATTGCAATCGAATAGAAATCGCTATTTGAATCAACACAATTAGCAAATCGCAAAAGGCTCCAGTTTTTGAAGTACCATAAATTTCTTCACAAACAACAAAGTATCATGTTTATGCCGTGTAAAAACTGCTAACGCTGTAGTTTAGAAGTGTGCAAGCGTGTTCTGAAATATTTGCCAATTCTTCCAAATGCGTTTCATATATGAACTTGTTATTAAAATATAAACTTTTTTTCCCCAAATCATTCAGCCTTAGTTTGTACACACACTTTCAGTAAAATATCCATAATAATAAAGTATAAATAAGCCTCTTGTGTTTAATATTTTATAGTACATCTTAAGAATACATTAAATGTTCATTAAATCAATGCCTGCATACTTCGTGAATACATTCGTAAACACTTCTAGGAGGAGTGCCAAAATATTCTGCTGCTTACATCAAATTCTAACAGTAATGTTTGTAATGAGCAAGCAGAGGGAGACTTGTATCCACTGAGAAAAACAATGCATTAAATGAGTGTTTAAATCAATTACACCTGATTAAAATGTGAACACCTGCAGACGCGGAGTCCAAACATTCTGCTCCCATCACATTGTAACAGTATTTAGTTTGTTATGAGCAAACACACAAAGCCACATCCACTGAGCAAAAATGATGAACGCCCCTAGATGTCACGCTAAAATATTCGGTTTACATCAAATCATAACAGTATTTTCCTTTCATTGTGCTCATAGGTTATCAGTGAGCAAAGGACGCCTAAACTTCACCCGGGACACAAATGATGGCTGTGTGAAGGGTCAGGGGTCACCTCCTGACACATTTGTGAGGACATAAGCGACGCACACAAACAGGTTACGCAACGCATTATTCATTTTGCTCATACAATATTTCACTGATCATTTGTCAGGGCTTTGATAGGCCCTGGCATGCTCCGGGCACTTCTTTTTGTATAAGATATGCACGTCGACTTCCACCGCAAATGAAAAAGTACTGATTGCATGTTGAAGTGACTAATATTGATACTTGGCACTGAATTCATATGCAAAATTATAACATTGAGGATATCATCTGTAACAGTGCAACAATGGCAAAAAGTTGATAAATTAAAGAAACTTGCAGTATCTTACAAATGAGGATATCAAATGAGATTTCCACACTTTTGAGTTTAATTTGACTGCAAATTCATTTACTATGCTACTTAATTTAACTACTTAACTTGAACCTCAACCAAGACTTTTGCAAATGCATTTATGATAAAAATATTAGAAGATTATTGTTAATATTGTTATAATCCCATAATAAATATTCTTTTTCAGTATCACCCAACTTTAACTCCATGCAAATAAATTACCATTTTTATTTAATATTCAAAAAAAGAAAGAAATATTACGATGCTTTCCACAGCAGCCAAACAAGTGTGCATCTATAATTTGCAGACAACTGAGCCAATGGAAATGTTTAAAATGCAAAATGCATCAGCAAACACATCTTAAAATTATGATCAAAAGTTATTTCCTCACCTTCCTCAGCTGAATTGGGCTGGAAAACCACACAGAACGCCAGTAAGATACTCCACATCTCCACAACTGAATGACACTGACAGAAAGAGAGGGAGGGAGAACGAGTGTGCGGAGCGGGCGAGTGAGGGGTGAGGGAGGAGGAGGAGGAGTCTGCTCACTCGCTGCCTTTATCACACTGTAAGAGAGAGAGAAAGAGAGAAGAGAAAAAGAGAGAGAGAGGGATTGGGGCAGAATGATGGATGGGTGGATATGTAGATAAATATTTACAGAGGGAAAGAAGTGCTTTAACCTGACTTACCACAAGAACCAGTATGGTGTATTGATTTAAAGAGGGAGTAGGAGAGGTAAAAAACGCACAAGGACTATATTAAAACAATGAGCGCTTTAATAACACATTTGTTTAGTCATTCGCACCATAATTGTCCAGACTTGTCTAATTGCGTCCTTCCAAGATTCCCCTCACAGCTTCACACATAAAATATTTGTGAAAAGAAAATATCTGGCCAGCACTGGAGTCAACTCCTCCAGCACAGCACTACATCGGAAGAAAACCAAATATTTTGTCACTAAAGCTGCGCTCATATTTAGTCCTGGCTTAATTCTGGTTTATTTCTGGTTTAGTCCTGGTTTAGTTCTGGTTTAGGCCAGGATGTGTCCTAGTTTAGTCCTGATGTAGACTGGGTTTGGTCCTTTTGTAGACCAGGTTTAGTCTTGGTCTAGACCGGGTTTAGTGCTGGCTTTTGTGTCAGGCTGCGTTCACACTTTCATACAAACTACATCAAAGCTGGGACTAAACCAGGACTAAACCAGGACTAGAACAAGACTAAAGATGAAGTCTAGATCAGGACTAAACTGGACTCAAACCAGGATCAAATCCACTACCAGACAAGTGTAAACGTGCCCTCAGTTTAGTCTCAATTTTGATTTAGTGTTGTTTTGTTGTGTATCGCAACATATACTCAATTGTATTATTGTATTATGGTCTAGGCTGGGTTTCCTCTAAAACTAATCTGTCTAATCTGTTTTTATTTATGGAAACAAAAATCATGTCCTTATGAGGTAATTCATAATAACCATCATAATTCATTATTATGACAGTGTGATTTACAGTTAAGGTTAGAATTTAGGCCAAGGTTAGGCAAGTAGTGATTATGGTTATGGTTAGGCTCAGTCTCCAGGAAATGCATTTAAGTCAGTGTAATCTCTCTAAAAAGCACGAAACCCAAAACAAGTGCGTGTGTGTGCAAGAAATTTTATATAAAAACAAATTAATCATATTTTATAAACTTGCTTTATATTAAATGGCTATTTGTTCTCTGTCTCAGTTCAAACAGCCTCTTTAGACAGGAGCGAGACAGAGCGCAAACAACCCAGCCCCCCACCAGCCCGTCCACACCACCCGCTGGTCGCATGGTGGTACTGCAGCTTGTTGTCAGCCCTTCATGCTCCAGTTCACTGCAGTGAGAAAAACTTCAGTAGACTCTTATTGGAGATGCTTTCGTCTGGTTCCATGGCCTCGTTCCCAAGCACCCGGGGGTCCCAGGCTTTGTGCTCCGAATGACTGGGGTGCAGAAGGTAAACGAATGGCCATTTATAGAGCCATTAAAATTAATGCGTCTGTACACATGCCCTGGATATGTAGCAGCACCTTTAACCTTTAAGAGCAGATGATACTTCCATAAGAAACAATATAGTACTAGATATGGGTATTTAAAGATTATATTGACATAGTTTGTGGAAAATATGCAGAACTAGCCTAATTAGTATCTTAACTACAATAAGCTACAAAAGGAGTTGGTAAAAAAAAAAAACAAAGAGAGAGAGAGAGATTAGAAAGTTGTCTAAGTAATTTAAAGAGATTTGTGGTTAATTTTACTGTTAATTTAAGTTCTGTCCTCAGTCAAGACAATTACACGCATGTTTATTACAATGTGATTAGGAATGTATCGATCCAGCTTTTTAATTTCTGATACCGATTCCGATACTGTAGCTTTAGGTATTGCTGATACTTGATATAAACCAATCCCAGAGACTGAAAAGAGCATTTATTTCTTTTAAACAAAAATCAAATAAAACTCCAAATGTGTTATGTAGCTGCTGTTGATATCCAAATTAACTTTTAAAAAAATCTGATATCATGAGACTTTCTGAGTGACTACGGCCAGCAAACTACTTCAATTTATACACTACCGGTCAAAAGTTTTAGAACACCACACTTTTTCCGTTTTTTTACTGTTTACTGTTTACTGTTGACCAAAACGTATTCTAAACTTCATGTTTAGATTCATGAAAGTGTCCACCTTTGGCAAATATAACAGTTGAACACACTCGAGGCTCGTTCTTTTTACAATAGAAATCAAATATTTTTCAGAAAGTTCTTCCCAAGTCTGTTGCAGAAGTTCTCATAAATGTGTGGCACTTGTTGGTTGCTTGACTTTCACTCTTCTGTCCAGTTCATCCCAAAACCAGCTCGATGGGGTTTAGGTCTGGAGACTCTGCTGGACACTCCATGTTTTTGAGCTTATCATGTTGTTCTTTTTTTCTTGAGGTAGTTTTAGCAGAGTTTGGACTTGTGTTTTGTTATCTTTTATCTTTTTTTTTTTACTTCTGTCTGTTCAGTTCTTACCTTTGTATAATTTCTAGCTCTTCATTGGACTTGAATTGCAATAAATAACTGGAAAAATGAGGGCCGGTAGTGGTTGTCCAACCAGGATATCAGCTGAATCATTATTCGGAAGCTGATATCCAGTCCGGCAACTTTTATCCAATATCTAATACCATTATCGGATTGACTCATCCCTAAATCTGACCTGGTGATTTTTAATGGAAGTAAACCAACAAATGAAATGTTCGTTTTATCTTCACTGTACAGTGTTTTACTCCTTCATGCTGGGGCTAATAATAGTTACACTAACCATTTAGGACAGCCAACTGTGTGTGTCTGTGTGTATTAAGGAAGCCCCACTGCTCATGAGTACAGCTAAAAACAACTTCAAAGATTTACTTATTTCTTTGGTCGTGTTCACACTTGTCCTCGGTTGGTCCTAGTTTATCCTTGGCATAGTCCAGGTTTAGTTCCCGGTTTAGTCCCTTTGTAGTCCATAATACCGTGTGCTAGTGTGAACACAACATTATAAAACATAAATCACTCTTATTTTTACAACTGAGAAGCATATTTTATTGATAGTCGCAAAGGTCCAGTCTTTTTTCTTTTTTCTGTCACATCACCTCAGGCATTTGTTTTCAACAGAAAACTCAAAAGGGCAAAATATACATAAACAGTCCACACACGGCAAGCAGCAAACTGACATTCAGAATACTAATATTAATAATAACAATAGCAGCAGTTGTAGTCTTTAATGCCTTGTGTAATTACAATGGATGCAACAATAGACAATTCTCTCTGCAATATTAATCAACATGGTATTTACCCCATTGTGTATTTAATTTGAATTGTGAAATTGTGTGAGTTTTTCAGTTAACATAACTTTAGTGCTACCATTATTGTCAAGTTTTAACTGTGTAATAACAAAACTTTCTTTACGATGGCTTTTGGATTGTGGTCTTGGCAGTTCCCGCTGTTGTTTTAACTTGCTACAACAGAACAATGCATTTAGGTGTTGGATGGATTCATATGTTGAAGAATTTTAATATTTTCACATTATTTTATCAGTGTTATTGTTTCATCCATTTTCAAAACAGTAAAATTATGAGTTTGATGACCAAGTGCAACTACAACCAGCTGTATACTGCATCCACATCATAACATACAACATTTGTTCAGTCTCAAAAAGTTAAATTTAACATTTTACACATTATTTTACACACTGACAGCGCATAAGACAGGCTCTGTGCTTTAACAGTACAATAAATACAAATATATTATTTTGCTTTTAGTGTCTCTTGACCTCTCTTGCACATTCAAACAGCAAACGTCCATCTTGCATCCCTCAACGATGATTAAACTTGATTAAAGGCAGTTCGTACAGTAATATCAGAAACGCACATATCATTCAATATTTAGTTCAGGCTTTTAAATACAAAATCCTAAACAGTAAACGGTACCCTGATCCAGACCATCAAATGTGTTCAATTGGGATGTGTTTATGAACTACAGTCTTATCTGTAATAATATTAAAATATATATATATAACAATTTAAATTGAAAAAGAGGTTGTGCTTCAAAAAATGCCCATGTCTTTGATGTAGGTGACTACCTGTTTTTATTACTGTAATTACTTTTTGAATGTAGGACCAGAGGTGGGTAGACAAGCAAAAAATTGTCTGGACATAATTTGAATTACTTGGACGGATTAAATAATATACAAAATTCAAGGGTCATACCACAAAAATGAGAACAAATCATGGCTAACGGAGCTAAGCAAGAAACACAAATGTCCAATAAATATGGTCAACAGTACGATTTTGTCACTTTTAGACAAAGGGAAGTATTATTACTCAAGTAATAGTACTTTTACAGTGTAAAATATATTACTCAAGTTGCAGGAGTAAAAGTACTGAAAGTGACTCTAAGTACAATTGTATGTAAGAGTTTATCAAGTAAATGTAACTGACTACTACTCACCTCTCACTATGACACTAGTTTCATTATAGTCAAATAATTAAATAAATATCTTGTCAAACATGTTCTACAGTTAAAATAAAACCTGTAGCATTCTTCAGTGTATTTCTTTCTCCTCAGACAACATTGGTCCCTTCCTTTGGCAGAGATTCTGATATGTCTTTTTGGGTCAAGCTACGTGCTCCAAAACCAGCTTTTCAGCCTGACCTCAATACAATAAACCCCAAATCCTACAGCCTTTTAACACTGGGGGTGGTAAGGGTCTTAACTCGGAGCATATGTTGATCCTCTTATATGGCAATATGCATGAAGCTACCATTTGGATGTCATTGGTAATGTTAAGCCATCGTTTGAGTTGTACAGAAAGTAAACGTTATTTTTAAATGTAAGGCCGCAAGATTTTGCAATCAAAATCAAAATTTGAATGGTCACAATTAGTAAATTACAAACACTAAATAACTATTTAATCTCCAGAAAACACATTATCTTGCCTGATTATAGATAAAAGCTGCTTTACAATTTAAATCACTGAAAACATCTTCTGAAATACTCAAATTTCAAACTCAATTTTGATACTAAGGAATAGATTTGACAGTTAATGCCAGTTCCTTTACCATGAAGATAATAAAAAAAAACCCTCTTTCTTTAGACAATAGAAAGTTATTTTCAACATTAAATCATAGTACTTTTATGATACAGTCTTATATCTCTGCAATCCCTCAAAAGTCCACGTATGTTCCATAGTGGTCCATGTGATCTTATACTTGTTATGATTAATTTCTGTACTGTAAATGCAATTTTTTTTTTTGTATCGATACCTGTTCAAATGAATATTTAGTTTCAATACTAGTTTTAGTATTGATTAGTATCTAATTTTGGACTTTGACAACCCAAGTTTGACCAGAATCCTACTGTTAAAACACAAACAACAAATTGTAACTCTAATTGCAATTAACATAAAATAAATTTTAAAAAGCCCTACCAAAATATTAACTGTGAATAAAACATGACTTGTAAATTAAAAGTGCACTACAGTATTTAACTTTTGTTGGAGGAGAGTAGTCTACACTACCTGCTCATGTTTCCGTAGAATGTTTCACAGTATGGCATTAAGTCAAGTAACAGTTCAGATTCAGGGAAAGACAACTCCATTCACAGTAAATATGCGAGGATATTTTAAGTATGGAAATAAAAAGACCTGCTTTTAAATTGAAGACATATTAGTTAAGCGTCATGCTGTGAAACATTCCAGGCAAAGCAAATACATTACGGTAGCGGACTCTCCATCAGAAATGTTACATAGTGCACCTTTAATGACACATAATACAGAAATAAAACTTGGTATGAGTGAAATGTCTTGTTCTATTCATACTCTGTTGTATGTAGCTGCTTGATTGTGTTCTGTGAGTTGCCTTTATTAACTTTATTTTGTGTTTAAAACCTGTGTTACATCGTTGTCATTCATCATTTCTTTTCTAGCGGCAGATCCACCATGGGTACTTTCTCATTGGGGGACATTGGGGGAGCAGGCTCAGACCCACCCACCACCACCGACTCTGGAGCAGGGGACGAGGCTGAAGTCTTCCCCGCACTCGCTGCAAATCCCTGCGCAATATCGTCAAAAGTCCTCCCTTTGGTCTCCTGGGACGCGCAGGAAGGTGAAGATGAAGAAGAAGATCAAGAGGACCATGAAGATGAGGAAGACATAAGCGTCACATATTTCCTGAAAAAAGGTGAGACAAGTTTAGAGACGCACACTTCATGAATTATGTTGAAATTTTAGACTTAAAATTTGGGAGAAAAAACATTGTCAAACAAAATATTCAGCTATTTTCAGCTTGATCACTTTTTTATTGGTTCAACAAACTAAATGTATTGTTGTATCTTATGACCTAATGACCTATGACTATTGTTTAGAATCATGTTGTTATGAATGGTATACACCGCCTGGCCAAAAAAAAAAGTCACCACCTAGATTTAACTAAGCAAATAGGTATGAGCATCCTATTGGATAATTACTGTATGGACGATTAACTGGCAACAACCCCAATGGGGCAATGAGTTGCAACCATGTTCACATGGTGGTCATGGAAAAGATATTAGTCTGTAGAAGGGTCAAGTCATTGGCCTGCATCAAGCAGAGAAAACATCTAAGGAGATTGCAGAAATTACTAAAACTGGGTTAAGAACTATCCAACGCATTATTAAAAACTGGAAGGATAGTGGGGACCCATCATCTTCGAGGAAGAAATGTGGGCAGAAAAAAATCCTGAATGATCGTGATCGGTGATCACTTAAACGTTTGGTGAAATCAAAATGAAGAAAAACCTCTACCATCATCAATGCAAGGTCTTGGTGAAAAATTAAAGTATCGCTGGATGGAAATAAATCTTGTGACATTGCAGAAGCTTATCGAAACAATGCCACAGCGAATGCATACCGTAATCAAAGCTGAAGGCGGTCCAACAAAATATTAGAGTGTGTGACCATAACATTCTATACAACCACAACCCATAGATGCATAATATACTAAATTACATATAAGTGCATTCATACCGCCAGTTTAGGAAATCCTAGCCCGACCAGGAAGTTGGCGGTCCAGTTGGAGAAGCCGGACACAGCCATGGCAGCCGGGCGCGGACCTTGGGAGAAGAGCTCAGCCACGATGAACCATGGGATTGGACCAGGACCCATCTCAAAACTCGCCACAAACCCAAAGACAGCTATGATGGCCAGGTAACTCAGAGCTTGGTTTGTCTTCTGCTCAAGAGGGAAAATAAAATGAATTAAATAAAATGGTCCACTCAGTACAATTAAAAGTAAAGTATAAAGTACTGGTAAAGGTGCAGAAGTGGTTGCAATTATAGGCCTATTTGAAATGGGAAGAATAAGCCAATATTTTACTCTAAATAAGAGTAATATTCAACATTGTAACACTCAAGTAAATATTGTGTATGTGCCTGTAACTATATGTAGCTACTAACTGATATTATTTATCCAAAAATATTTCTGTCACGTACCACCAAAGCAAGGGATATGGTCATCAGCAGTGCACAAACAGCCATTCCAGCTAAACCAATCAAATGCAAGGTCCTACGTCCTGCCCGTTCAACCAGGAAGAGCTTCATGAAACAAAATCAACAAATCGTTATAAATATGAACTTCTCAAATATTTAGATAATTTGTGGATTTTGTGAAAAACTCACAGAGACAACAGTGAACACAGTGTTGACGACTCCAGCTCCGATTGTGGCGTAGATGGGTTGAGTCACTCCAGCCGTAGTAAATATGCCAGTTGAGTAGTAAAATACCTGACAGAATAAAGAGAAATATTAATATTTTGTATTATTATTTTGAAGACTTTGGCTTCATTTTTCTGGACAGTTACGTACTTGACTACAATAGAGCACAGAAAACACTTTTTTTCATAGCAAACATGCAATTTAATTAGCTACACTTCATGTAAGAAGATGTTTGTGTATGAATGTTTGTACCACGCTCTTTAGCTCTCCTCATTTCTCCATGCACAGAATCTCCACGGCTCTTTATACTGTATTTCTGTATAATCAGATGCTTTTATAATCAAAAATAGTTATCGAGGAGTGGATTGTTTCAGACGGAGTACTACTGAAGGCCTAGGTGTGAAATGCACGGTCCGCCACTGAATTATTGCAAATGTTAGAAGAGATTCCTAAATGTTATCAAGCTACTAGGTGATGTACAGTAGCCTTATAAGCAGAATGTGTAGAGGAGTGTTGAAGTCTCTGTTGCCATGTGCTGACAGGGTGCTGGTACTCACTGCGTTGATGCCGGACAGCTGTTGTGAGAGCTGCAGGATGATGGCGATGATGATGGGCTGGCGGTAAACAGGAGATCGGAAAAGCTCTGGGATTGTGACCTTCTTCTCCATGGACATTTTGAGACCCTCTTCCTTCATCTCCTTAACATCATCGTTTATGTCGTCGTGGCCACGCAGACGCTCCAGGGCTACAGGGAATCAGAGGTGAGATAAGCATTTAAATTAAATAAGCTTATAACTTTCACGTAAAATGCCAAGTTAGTCCAAAACATGCATTGAAAAGTAGTCCTGGCCTAACCCTTAATCTGGAGGTGGGTTCATCTACAGCTAGGTTGCTAGATATAGACAGAGCTCAAAAGGTGTAGTTACTAATATAAATTATTGGGTTCAACCTTTGTGAATTTTCATGTTGGATATTTACGCTAAAAAACAGGTTATCGATAGGTTAGGACAGGGGTGTCAAACTCAAATTCACACAGGGCATTTTCTTCCGCTTATCTGGGGCTTGGTCGCGGAGGTAGCAGTCTAAGCCTTTTCTTATTAAAATAAATGTTTAATAACAGTTTTGCTTAAACACTGAACCCAGAACAAGCATAATATAAAATAATAACAAACATTTTGAATAAATAATGTCTCTATAGTCTATCTGTAGCCGGCGGCCAGCTCTAATACATATTTGATATGATCTCGTGGGCCAAATATAATTATATCGCTGGCCAAATTTGGCCCACGGGCCTGAGTTTGACATGTCTGGGTTAGGAGTGTGTCCCTAAACCCACTTTCCTCACTAAATCCTAAATTAGCTTTAATTTGATCTTGGTTCTGTCTGTTCTGGTCTGTCTGGTAAACATGCACATATAAACTGAAATTACTGTGTCAAAAAATACATTAAGTTATATCAGTATCACAGCCATATCACATATCTCAATATTTTTCGATATTGTGCAGCTTTTATAAGCAGCCCCTTTTACACTAAATGGTTTTCAGATTCAATAGTTTTTCTTATTGACTAACACTGTACTTTGCCATGAAATATCCAAAAGGTAACTGCACAATCCACAAATGTTGAAACTGATCATTTGACTAGGTTCCACTGAACTCACTGCATTGCCTGGTTTCAGATGACATCACATAAATTAAAATAGCTAAAATGCAAATGATGTTGTAATACATTGAATTTTTTAGTTTAGTTAATAATTGGAAATACCAGGTTCAACATTTCTGAATTTACTTATTGGATATTTCATGGTTTCAAGTACAATGCAATCAATAGGGAAATCTGGCTCTTGTCCCCATCTAAGAGTATAAAACCGTCACATTGTACAATCTGAAAAGTACCAGTTACAACAAAGTTCTGCATTTTAACATTAGTATTTTAATATTAATTTTATGTGTCTATCTGTATCAAATATTATTGGTCAATAGAATGTTGTGATATACTATGAAATCTATCAATATTCAATTCAGATTGTTACACCAGTACATGAATGCAGCCTTATATAGATGAGTATATATGTCCATACTGTTTAAAGTGCATAGCCTGACCTTTACGGGCCTCGTCCTCCTTGTTGAGGTTGATGAGGAGGTATCGGGGGCTCTCGGGGCAGAAGGGCAACATAATGCACTGTAGCACCGCGGGCAGGATGGTCAGAGCCAAGAGCAGAGGCCAGAGCACGTCTGAGCCCAGCAGGAACTCCAGGCCAAAGATCTGCAGCAAACAGCAGCAAAACAAGTTCAATTCAGTTACATAACAATAACAAGACACTGCAAAATCCAATCTCAAAATTTAAATTAAGATTTGAAGTACACGTGACAGGTTAGGCCACTAAAACATTGTTAACATGATTATATTTAAGGTACAAAGTCTTTTCTAGTTTTGTAATTTTGTTGTTTTTAATTTTATTTGCTGTTTAGACACAGACAACAGATACAGCAGTAGAGGCCAGGTGCCACATTGAGGCACCAGTGGCCAAAACTGTTGTCCTTAGGCAAGACACTTCACCCACATTGCCTAGTGTGAATGTGCTGGTTGTGGTCTGAGGGGCTGATGGTGCAGATTGGCAGCATTGCTTCTCTCAGTTTGCCCCAGAGCAGCTGTGGCCACAATACTAGTTTACCACCACCAAGTATGGAGTGAATGAATAATGCATGAAATTAAGAAAAATAAAAGACTAATGCTTTATTATTATTTAAAACAGGACAACAGTATGCATTTGGATTGCACTATGTTACTTAAATTGCACTTTTCTAATGTGTCTGCTTGCCCTTGTATACTGCACATCTTTGGTGCAACTACAAGAAAAAGAGTTTGCAGAGTTTGACGGTGGCCTATAATGACTCTTTGAGAATATTACTGAAAGTGCTGAGGTTCTGTAGCGCCAGTGAAATGTTGGTAAATTGTGGTGATTTATTAATTTATGTGTAGAGCAATGAATCTGAGCAATCAAATCATTCAAGCTCTTGTGGGTCCTGTGAGGAGCTCTGTCAGATTCACCTCTGAGCTGTGGAGACACTGGCGCTCTTGTCTGTGTACTTTACAACATGCACTTTATATTAACTTTTTTATATTCTTCTTATTATTTTTTTATGCTATGAAATATATATTATGTGTTCTTAATAAAGATTGAATTTAAATTGAATATGTAACTTGGTTGTTGTAAAAAAATTATTACATTTGTTTTTTTTATTGCCCAAAAATATATGGTCTTTAGATTAAAAAGTTGAATGCCTAAAAAAATTATTCAGTTGTTTTTTTTATTGCCCAAAAATATATGGTCTTTATGGAGATTAAAAAGTTGAATGCCTTCTCTCGTTTAAAATAATATACATGTTTGCAGTTAGTCATAAATTCAAGTTGTACCTGTGCGATGAGGATGCCTATGACCACTCCGAGCTGATGCAGCGTCCCAAAAGCTCCTCTGAGGGCAGTGGGGGAGATCTCACCCACGTACATGGGCGTGAGGCCAGTGCACAGACCACAGAAAACTCCTATGATCAAACGCCCAATGATGATCATCTCATAGGACCGACTCAGACTGGACAGGCCCATCAGACCTCCTCCCAACAAGGCCAGGACGTTTGCCAGCAGCATGGATTTACGCCTGTACACAAACACAGAGAAAATATAAACTACTACTATAAAACCATTGACTGTGTATAAAGGAAACTGTGGAATATTATTAGTGATTTGACTAGTGGCTACATTAAAAAAAATACATAAATAAAAGGGAAATATCTACAGTAAGTTACAGCTACTTGAAATCAGGGTAAAGAATTCAGCCTGCTCAGAAATACTCAAATCCAGATTAATGTACAGGATTAAAGACATTTAACTTCTTTGCACTGTAATTTTTTTCAGGTTAAATTAAATTGTATGACCTAGAATACAAGAAATATTATCTAGCAATGGGGCAAGCGCTGATTTCTGACCCTACTGGCAAAAACACATTGAAACAAGTTAGAAATGTTGTATAGTTTCATCAACCAACTAAATCTTAACAAGTAAAAAGTTTTATCAATATAAATTCTACAAGTATCTATAGTCAGTCAGTCATATTTTCACCTGCCGAATCTGTCCACCATGGCTCCCACAGAGAAGGAGCCGACCATCCCTCCCACACTGAAGATGGCCACAGCGAAACTCCAGACCATGGTGTTGGCTCCAGGAGTAAAGGGCTCCCCATACCGCTCGATCGACACGTTTTGGAAGAACAGACGCAATTTCTGTCAAATCAAAAAATTTATTAAGATCAGGGTTTGTATTTATTAAAGCCAGGGGTGAAAAGTAATACAAATTTTCTGGTGTACTTGCACTTTTTATGTGAACTTGTAATTGCAATGGAGTATAATTCTAGCCATGTAATTGTAAGTAGCCACATATAACCAGAAGATACACAGTAGGCCTACAGCAGGAGTCCCAAACTAAATTTCCACCATTTAATGAAACAGAATTTACACTGGATAATGAAATATCTATCATAAATTGACTTGAATTTATTCTGGATCGTATACCATAAATTATTTTGCTTGTTTCTGGACATTTCTGGTTGGTGAATTGCACTATATAAATGGGACCATGTAATTTAGACTGAAATAAAAGCACTACATATCCAGTAGGGGTGGGACAATAAACAATAATACCATTTATTGTGATAAAAAGGGTCGACAATAGTCATTCGTGGCACATTTTATATAATCGTGATAGTTGCCAACAAAGATATTTGCCATGAATCACCAGAATGCACAGAAAAAAGATACTTATCCATGATCTTTTTTTTTTTTTTTGCTTTCACTTACAAAGTACAACACTATACCCGTTGTAAAATATGGAACCTATTGATAATATTCAAATTTTTATTCAAAGCCATAACTTTGGCCATGATAATTGTCACACAAATTTCTATATCGTCCCATGCCTCATATCTAGTGGAGTAAGTGCTCGTTACTTTAGCTTGCTTGAATCAAGAAGTAATGTGTTGAATCAAGTTTTGGTCCAATGTGTAAATACATCTCAAATCTATATATATATATATATATATATATATATATATATATATATTTTTTTTTTTTTTTTTTTTCAACAAATGTAGATGGTCCTTTGTGTAATGCTTTTTGTGTTTTGTACAATGTCCACTTGAGGGCAGTATTAAGCAATATATTTATATACAATTAATTAAAGAGGGTAGTAGCACAACAACATATTTGAAGGGAAAAAGGAAAAATTGTCTCCAAATATGTCTAAAATACTTTTCGATTTCTCCACAGAGGCGTACCTGCTCGGGCGCGTTGATGACACCTGTGTTGTAGCCGAACTGCAGAGACCCGATGACAGCCGTGGACACACAAAACAGAAGGTAAGGAGTGATGGTCTTCTTTGGCTGAGGGCAGAGAAAACGGAAGATGATTTAGACACAGTGTGACTGTAAGATATTAGAACAAACATGCAGGATTTGGTAACTTTGGTTAATATGACAGAAGCAGTATTGCAAAATCAGATTACAAAGCCCAGTTAAGCAAAGATGTACCGTACATTACTTGATTTCAAACAGTGACAAAATAAAAAAAAAAATTACAGACTAAACCAAGACCAGAAAGGCATGTTTTGTAAGAATTTTTAAAAACAAGAACAACAAAACTGCATCTTTGTCAAGTTAGATAGTCTTAAAATAGTCCAGCCCAGCAGCATTCAAGGACAGGTCAAATGCAGAAGACAAATTTCCCTATAGAAGTGTTTCTTAATCTTAATCTTTTAATCTTTTCTTGCTATATGGATACTGTGTCAACTAATATTGTGTTATAATTAATTTGCGTTATATTATTCAGCTCTAATACACAAACATTATACCAGTGGACGTGTCAGTGCCCAATCAGTTGTCTGTATGAATGGCCTGTTCCTGCTTCATTCACAAAGCTCCTGTTGTTTATTTTCAGGCCGGTAATTAGACACAATGAGCCTTTCTCCTTTTCTCTCCCTTGATTTCAGCTTTGTGCTTCAGCAGCTGCGGTCCCTCTATATCCACTGTACAAGGTTATACAGTATACAATGTTATACACTGTTCATCTTTTTAGGAACAAGACGTTCAGTTTTGTTCCAGCTGTAGAGAATTTTCATGCAAATTCTGGTAACTAAATTGCTGCCAGTAAAGTATTTTCGACCACATTTAGATAAGGCTTTGCACTCTTAACAACTTTATACAAAACTTCTCTCTGGTGTTCATTTGGGCCTATTTTAGTTTTAGGCTCACTCGTTTCTGGTTTAGTCCGGATGTAGACTTGGTTTGGTTTTGTTCTGTGGTATAGTCAAGGTTCAGTTCCTTGTTGCCTATCACACAGCCCCTTTTTTTTTTTTTTTTTTGCACTACAGAGTAAAAAAAATCACTTTGTTTTACAAATTTTTGCTCAGTTTTACTCAATCATGATTTTTCAATGTATTTTGTATTAATAAAAACAAATAGGAATGTCAATCAATCAGTATTCATTACCTGAACATAAACAATGCAGGCTTTTAATCATTGCCATTGTGGACAAACAGAAATAGTAAGATTTTTTTCTCCAAAGTCCAAACTCTGCTCCAAACCACATGCATTTACTGACAGAGGTTTGTCTGAAGACCTCTCAATAAAAAAGCTGTTTATTGATGATTAGAAATGACTGAATTTCAATCTCAATTAAAATGTAATAAATTGCACAACACTGCGAAAGAGTATTCTTTTAACATCTGATTCAAATTGTACTGTTTCATTTGGCTCTGAGTCTAGTCTCCACTTGTCCCCACAATTAATTTTGCTTAGTGTTGTTTAGTCAGCCACATATTTGTACTTTTAGTCATCACTACGTATTTGTTTTCGTCAGTAACATTAAGCAAAAAAAGAAATTTACACTGACGAAAAATATGATGATGATGAAATACATTATTCAGTCAACAGTGTTGCACTATGACCCTGGAAGGTTTTCTCCTTTTAAGAAGCTGAAGGAAACCCTTGAGTTAATAACATGGAATCCTATTGTGAATATTTCCCTGCTGCTTTTAGAATTATATGTGGGCTTAACCCATAATAATAGACTAATACCAGGGCTGCTACTAATCACCATTTAGCTAGTTGAGCAGTCAGACATTACTTTTAATTAAAAACTAGTGAAATTTGGATATCGCCTTGAAACCTGATGAAAATATGTGGACAAATAAGTTGTATTTTGTATTAAACTCTCAAACTGAAATGATAAAACCTCTCATCTCTGGTGAAGAGTAGGCAAACTCCTTGTCTTTGCCTGAAATGTTTCATAGTATGACCAAAAATCTATCTATCTCCATGGAGACAAGCAGTTACACCACAGCTTACAAATTACAAGTTAGGTCTGTGGAGAGGAGAGAGAACTGTGCTCAGAGTAAGAATATTTTAGGGTGTGAAACATTTGATTGATTTTTATCTCTAATTGAAAAAATTATAATTAATTTTAATGCCATACAATGGAACCTTCCAGATTAAGCATAAACATCTGGAGACGAGCAGGTGGGGGAACAGAAAAGTTACACAGTGCTCATTGAAATTTAATTAGTCATGATTACTCAGATTAGTCATGCAGCCTTACATCTGTTTTTTCCCTTATCTGACCTTATTATTTATAGTGTATGTATTCATTTATACAAAGGGATGTTGGAAATGTTTGCTGCGTGTGTTTTTTATTTATTCCAGTCTGAGATAATAAGTTGTTCTCAAGCTGTGACTTGTTACTTACTGAACATTTCGTCCATAAAAGCATTTAAACGAATCATGCCTCATAATATTATCACAGATGTTGGAACTTGTTCAGATTTGTTATAACTATGTATAATATTTGACATACATGACATAAATCTTTGGTGATTATGAAGATTATGATTTCGCATGGAAGATGTCTGTCATGGATTGTCAAATACTGAAATATTATTTGTACTGTTAAGCCTTATTGATCTTGAGTAATACACATGAATTAATTATTAAGACCATTCTGAGCAAAGGTGTGGTCCTGGGTTAAGATGCGGGAGTCAGAACTACGCAAGCCGCTGCTGGTTGTATGAACATGCCTGCAGACACGTGTTCTGAGCACATGCACTGTCATGTTTTACAGTGTCTACAATATGAAGTACAGACATGGCTTTGACATGCACAGAATAGATGTTGTTTTGGGGTAAAATGTTCCTATATTAAGCAAAATTGACTCTTGTGACCTTTTAGTGATGTTAAAATATTGTTACCTCCTGAAAAACATACTCAAATTTGTGTTTAGTTTCACTGCCTACATCTACAAACCTCAAAATGCTTCCGTGTTATGTAATGGTAGTTTTCAAGTTGACAGCTGCAGTTTATTTTTTGTTTCAGGGCCGAAATTATCCAAATGATTCTAGTGAAGGTGTATGGAGTTTAAAAACACAGTGGAGCACGTCCAGTATTGCTACATGACATTACAAAGTGTTTTCCATTTGAGAGAACAACTAAGCCTAAATATGTAGAATTTGTGTAAAAATTTATGTAACAAAACACAACTCCAGATCAGTAAAAATCATGATATACTCTCTTTAAGCACATTGCATAAACATGTAATTGCAGTTTCTTCTCGTATAAAAAAGCTTGCCATAGCTATGACGTAATCTGAGCTATTGTTTAATACTAGCTTTTATAGTTTAGTCACATTTATACAATTTTATGTGTAGTTGTTGCATTTGGGAGCCTGCTTGCCTCTCCACAGATCTGACTTGTAACTCAGTCTGGCGGTATCAGCTGCTTGTCCTCATGGAAATGGATACATTTAATCCCATAACTTTCGGGGCAATATAATAACTTCTCCATGGTAAAACGCACAAGGAAGGCTTTTTCTGGCTGTTTAAACCTTCGTTTAACAAAATAAAGATGTTGTCGTTTATTTATATTAGTGTAATCATAATTTTTGTGCAGTTTAGACAAGTTCTGGTACTTGTTTACATTATGGCTCCTAGAATTACCTCTACATATGTCATATCTGTAGCCCTGTCCAAACAGAAAAAAATACAGAAAAAAAGGAATGATTTTTTTTTTTTTTTGACTATTTTTTTTTACTTTTATATATATATAATTAGTTTACCCAAGTAGAAAAGGTAGTAGAAATATATGTTAAACTGCTGGATTACCGTAGGCAGTACATTTGTAAATGCAAGGATTTTGTGGTTAAATACATTGTAATAAAATGTTTGTGGTTTTCTGTTAGTTTGGGCAATAGACCTGATGAAAATCGGTTAAGCAGTCAACTGCACAACTCAACTATTGGCTGGAGATTTCAAAAGAAAACCAACAACGTGTGCAACATCTGCTGCAGCTGAAAGGTACAGGAAATCCTTTACATGGTTCAAGAGAATCAAACATTAAAATAGAAATAATTTGATAACGAGAGCTCAGTTTGTGGATCGCCGTGTGTTGTAAACATGTCGTACCTGAGAAAGCTGGAAACTGTAACACAAGTTGCTACATGCTCTATGCCCACCGTCATTGTTTTGACCTGACCCAAGTTTTCATTGCCAAAGAGGAAAAGTACAGACTGCCAGTCCTGTACATGTGTATACTTGACTCATTCATTACAAAACACTGGGAAAAAAAACTACAAAAAACTAGAATAAAGTCGCCTGGAACTATGAAAAGTATCTGTTTAATTGTATAAAACAGCTAACCCTATAATTAGACATCTACACATGTTCTGAAATTCATGTATTCTTGTATTTCTTTAACAATTCATATTTCAGTCTTATATGTCAGTGCTCCTGGGCATGTTTAAAATGTGAAATTTGATCAGAATCCTACCTGCAAATCATAAATCATAAATCTAATCGCAAAGCTATATTTTTCCATTACCGTTCTGTAAATAATATGGTGTTCTATATGTTTCAGTAATAGGCGGCTTACCTTTTCATCCTCCATCCGCTGCATTTTTGTAGTTTTTTTAGACAAATCCAACCACTTCAGAGGTAAAACTTAAGTAAAATGTTTCACTGGATTTTCAGAGCAGTAGAAAAACCTGAGAAGATGAACACAAATGAGACAGTTTGTAGAGCCCACCTCAGTCGTTTCAGTATAAACTCCTCCCACTGCATCCTCCTCTCATTCACTCACATCAGAAGTGAAGTGAGGTCAGCTCTGAAAACGACATTATTATGCCTCGTTTCACACGTAGCAACAAGTTAGTGCGTGATTTATTACCACTAATCCTGTCACGATAATCACTGTACTGACGTATCGTTCAATATATGAAAGCTGGAACAATATATTTTGGGGCAAAATATTTATCGTGTGTTCAATTTCTTTACAATAATGAGGAGATTTTTTTTAATAATTTGTATGTGTAACTCAAGATTTAAGCTGTAGGGGGTAGAAAAAATATTGGTTCATCCTGCTATTTATTTGGTGCAGCTCAGATCTTTTAATGACCCTGTCTATATTTAAAACAGGTTTACTGGGATTATCCTACTTTGTATCAGTAGTACAGTATTATCTTGTATCACAAATTTGTATTGTAATGACATGGTGCAGCAATAGCTAAAAAAAAAAGACAGAGGGAACTACATAGGCAATGATGATTTGCTCCATTACTGTGTAGACTAGATGAAGAAATAACAGTTCTAAGCACTTTTAAGTCTTAGTTCTTTGGAAGTCTTGCTCAAGGCATTTTAAGAGGAAAAAGTAGCATATTAACAGTTTTGTTTGTAAGCCTCCACAAAATATCACAATAATGATCATACCGAGAGATTTGGATATTGTTACATCCCTAAGCGTAAGCCTCCCCACCATATCGTGAGCTTTCCCACGATATCGCAGTAGATATCGTACTGTGAGGTTCCTACTGTGTCGATATCATATCGTGAGACTTGGATATCGTTACACCCCTAATGGTTACACAAAATTAGATATGTGAAATGTATGTGGAATATATAGAGGTCAGGTTAGAGAGTCTCAAATATTTTTTACCACTTACAGGTGTACTGCGTAACCTTTCTGGTGAACCACCTGTTTGTCTCCATAAAGATGCTTAGAGTTGTTTAAAAGTTCCATAGTGTGGCATTCAGTATATTTGTCTTTATGAAGGCACGCAGATGCCTTCATAACCCTAGCCTAGCCTAACCCAGCTCACAGTAAGAATTAGTGGTGTGCAAAAATATCAATATATCGTATTGTTTAATGTGGTGATACAGTATCGCTGTGTTGCTATATCGCCAAGAGTATTTTTTGGTATATTTTACTAAATTATTTTGTTACTGAGCTACAGTTTTGTTGTTTGTTTAGAGGAAGGAAACTATTACTAACACATTTGACATTTTTACTGTTTTCAAGAGTAAAGTGGGTGTGTTTCATATGAGCTTTGCGCAAGAAGTGGTTTAATGATGACTTTAATATCACAGCCATCATTTAGCCTTTATTTTTTTACTGAACTATACAACTTGATTTGAAATATATCATATTGAAACAAAAGTGCACTGTATTGAGATATATATTGTATCATGGCCTATGTATCGTATTGGCAACTTCTTAATGATACCCAGCCCTAGTAAGAATGTGTGTTTTTTATTATATTTGTTATATTTTTGTATTTTTAAACAGCAGTAATTAAATAAATGCTAGACTGAATAGTTTAAAGCCTTACTGTGGAATATACGGAAAGCAGTTACAGTTAATCCATATTTATTTAGATTTTATTATAGAGGATGAAACCATGACCAAAGTAGTTTGCTACATGGTCTGAGCTTAAGGAGGACAAAAACTGATACAAATTAATCTGCAGATATTGGAATAAAAAACATGGAACAATAAAAGCTATAATTTCTTTTGAGTTGTCTTCAAAATGTCTTCAAAATGTCACCAATAATTGGAAACTTGAACCCATTTGTTGGTTTTGCGCTGTATAAATAAAGGAGGCCTCACACTTAATAAGACTAAACACTGCTGACATAACCCCACGTGTAACTGGGGACAGGGGCAGTTGGGGCAGTTGTAGCAGGACAGGGCTGTGAAAGGGGGCTCTGTGCCTGTGCCCTGCCTGCGCCCGCTGCTCTCGGAGGGGGCGCGGACACAAAGCTCGGTCATGCACAAATCATAAGACCAGCTCAGTGGGTGGCAAACAAACTGGGAGCCTTCCTAATTCTTCATCAACTAATCTTCACAGCCCACGTAAAACCCTCAGGAATTTTACAATGCTGCGGAAAAGGGAAAGTTGTGGACATTTTAAATAGCTTTTCCAGTAAATGGTCTCTATATATTTCATGTACTTAAGGTGCAGCGCATATTTTCGTCTGTAAATGCGTTTCTCAAGCTGTGGTTACGCAGGCTTTCTCTGGTGGTATGCAGGGTACTCTGAAGGCCGAGTGTTGTTAAGAAGTCACTGATATGAGACAAACCTCGATACAGTGCGCTTTCGATTCGATACGGTTCAGTAAAAAATAAAGGCTAAATCATGGAAAATCTTTGTTAAACCAATTCTTGTGCAAAGTTCATATGAAACACAAACATTTTAATCCTCAAAACAGCGAAAATGTCAAACGAGTTTCCTTCCACTAAACAAACAACGAAACTGTAGCTGTAACAAAATCATTTAGTAAAATAAACCAAAAATACTCTTGGTGATATATTGATAGAGCAGCCCACAATATTGATACTGTATCATCACATTAAACGATACGATATATCGATATTTCAATATTTTTGCACACCCCTCTACTCTTTATCACACGAAGACCACAGTTCTTTAGTTTAAGGTCATGGTTTAAGGTCAAGGGTATATTTCCTCTGTTATTTCTGGCCATTTTTGTTTTATAATTGAGTTGTTTTGTAAGTGTTGCTGTACTTACTGTTACGCAGATAAAAAGTGCGACCTACTCTGTGAAATCTACTCTGTAAAGTCTCCTCTGTGAAGTCTACTGTTTGAAATCTTTGTACGATTTGCTCTGTGTCAAGCTCAGCTAAATGTGCCTTTTCCGTTAAACGATATGTGATTTTCGATTTGTGATTTGCGATTTGCGATTTGCCTACTCTTATAATCTCCCCGAGGCCAAACAAAGCTTTGAAGTTTAGCTTTGAGTTCCGGAGTTGCCATGGTAACAAGGCTTTATTGAACTTTACATGTATGATGTCATCGGCGCCGTGAACCTGATGGAACTGGGAGGTTTTCAGGTTCTAGAATGTGATGATATACTCCCAGACGGGGCAAGAGCCACGTTTCCCTGTTGACTGAGGCCGAGTGTTGTTAAGAAGTCACTGATATGAGACAAACCTCGATACAGTGCGCTTTCGATTCGATACGGTTCAGTAAAAAATAAAGGCTAAATCATGGAAAATCTTTGTTAAACCACTTCTTGTGCAAAGTTCATATGAAACACAAACATTTTAATCCTCAAAACAGCGAAAATGTCAAACGAGTTTCCTTCCACTAAACAAACAATGAAACTGTAGCTGTAACAAAATCATTTAGTAAAATAAACCAAAAATACTCTTGGTGATATATCGATAGAGCAGCCCACAATATCGATACTGTGTCATCACATTAAACGATACGATATATCGATATTTCAATATTTTTGCACACCCCTCTACTCTTTATCACACGAAGACCACAGTTCTTTAGTTTAAGGTCATGGTTTAAGGTCAAGGGTATATTTCCTCTGTTATTTCTGGCCATTTTTGTTTTATAATTGAGTTGTTTTGTAAGTGTTGCTGTACTTACTGTTACGCAGATAAAAAGTGCGACCTACTCTGTGAAATCTACTCTGTAAAGTCTCCTCTGTGAAGTCTACTGTTTGAAATCTTTGTACGATTTGCTCTGTGTCAAGCTCAGCTAAATGTGCCTTTTCCGTTAAGCGATATGTGATTTTCGATTTGTGATTTGCGATTTGCCTACTTTTATAATCTCCCCGAGGCCAAACAAAGCTTTGAGTTAAAGCCCACAAACCTTTGAAGTTTAGCTTTGAGTTCCGGAGTTGCCATGGTAACAAGGCTTTATGGAACTTTACGTGTATGATGTCATCGGCGCCGTGAACCTGATGGAACTGGGAGGTTTTCAGGTTCTAGAATGTGATGATGTCATACTCCCAGACGGGGCAAGAGCCACGTTTCCCTGTTGACTGAGGCCGAGTGTTGTTAAGAAGTCACTGATATGAGACAAACCTCGATACAGTGCGCTTTCGATTCGATACGGTTCAGTAAAAAATAAAGGCTAAATCATGGAAAATCTTTGTTAAACCACTTCTTGTGCAAAGTTCATATGAAACACAAACATTTTAATCCTCAAAACAGCGAAAATGTCAAACGAGTTTCCTTCCACTAAACAAACAACGAAACTGTAGCTGTAACAAAATCATTTAGTAAAATAAACCAAAAATACTCTTGGTGATATATCGATAGAGCAGCCCACAATATCGATACTGTGTCATCACATTAAACGATATATCAATATTTCAATATTTTTGCACACCCCTCTACTCTTTATCACACTGTACTTTGCCACGAAATATCCAAAAGGTAAACGCACAAATGTTAAACCTGGTATTGAAATGATTAAAAAACTCACTGTTAGAACACAATGGCCACGTTCACATGATGTTTTTTAATTGTTCTGGATTAAATAGTTTGGACTTAAAATATTTTCCTTGGAGTTTACATGGAAATAATAATTCTGAATATCTGGGTTTCACGTGACATTACAGGGCGACGTTTGTCAGCACGCAAAATCAGATGGAGGGCAAGAAGTGAACCGACTGGAGGGAAATGCCGATGAGTTGTGCAGTTTACGGCTGTGCCAATTGTTCTAACCGAGAGAAGGAAAAGCGATTTTTTTAGAGTACCGAAGATAGTCGTCCACAAAGGTCAGAAATGGGAAAAGCTGACAGAACAACGCCATAAAAAGTGGATTACAAACTAGAGCCCGACCGATATGGATTTTGCTGTGGCCGATATGAAACCGATATAATGGCAGTTGGCGCTGCCGATATCCGATATAATCACCGATATATTTAGTGATGTAAAAATTCACTGTAAATGTTGAATTGTTTAAAAAACTTAGGTTTGGCTCTGGTGGATTTTAAATTGGGTTTATTTA